CTTAACTATAAGATTTGATATTGGCAATCAGAACAGAACGTTACACAAACATAAAGGTCAAATTAAAGATGAATTAGCTTTGACACTTTTGTTGCCGATCCTTCAGGAGCCTTGTCCTAGATCACATGATCAAATACCTAATTCTCAAAAATGTCCTCAAAATATAGATCAACCGCCATCTACTGCTGGAATACGCACAACATATGTGAAAGTGTGCAGAGATCTGTTCTGAAATTCATATTTCTTATTGAGTGTGTTACCATAACTACTAATATTAAACAGCGAGAGAATTATATGGCTATTAATACGTTATAAATCGTAATTCGTTCCTTCTTCAGAGCATGTATTAAAATGCCCTGTCCCCTCTTTTCCCGAAACATAAATGTAGTGATGGTTGTTAGAGCGGTTGGTTGAATCAAATTGTTAATTTGCACGTAATTTGATTTTAGTCGTGTTTTTGGCGTTTCCGAATATAGGGAGGATACAACACAGTCATGATGAACAGGGAAAGTATGTTTAGGAGAAAAAGGGACGAAAACAAGGTTTTACAAATTCTAATAGCAATATACAATTAACACTCAAGATCCACAAAATTTGGCTATATAGTAAGTGGAAATGCTTATATTTTAGAAGCCAACAGCGCAATATTTCCATCTTTCTACATTTTGGCGGTTTCCAAGCCTAATGATCTAACTAACAGATTTACAGGGAGGAGAAGACGATCGCCCCTTCCTAGACGTCCGTACCTTGGTGTAAAAACTACCTAGCTAGACCTGAACTGTAAGACGTGCGCTCCCCCCTACACATGTCCCACACCCGCTCTTCAATTGTCGCAAGGGCATTTGCTCTTAGAAGCGTTATTTAAGTGCTCAAATATGCAGACAACCTACCCATTCATTTTTTATTCGCCGCTACCTGCTTCCCGCTCTTCAATCTTAAATCGACGCTACCCCCTCCCCCGAGAAGAACATCTTCCTAAAAATGAATGCTGCGCCTCTCTCCCCTAGACAGATGCCCAAGTCCGTCCTAATAGAACAAATTACACATTCGCGAACATACGCATATAAGTCACATACTGTGGTCCAATAAAAGTAAGTTAAAAAAATTAAAGAAAGCAAACTAATGCAGACAGCGAAGCTATGTCGATGCCAGCCGGTCGAGCCGCCCAAGGCCGAACATTGGGGTAAGGGAAGGCGAATAACGGGTGGGGTGAGATGCAAGAATAGCTAGATGGGATGTCGTAACGCCCGACGAAGGACGTCGACGGGTAGCCTGGACGGGAAGAACAATCCGGAGCACATTATCCACGTACGGGACACCTTTGTACACGTTTTGTAGATAATATATATATAGAGAAAATTATCATGCGGAGAAGGTATATAACAAAAATAGGAAAATAATGGACAAAATCCGCAAAAAGTGGATTCGAGCAGAAAATAGGCAAGTGTCTATAACCGGCCGCGTGGTTGTGGTTATTTGTCGCCTTGAAAATTCGAGGTCTTCTAGCCATTTTATACTACAATGTGTAGGTTGGCTCTTGTTGTGGACTTCGTGTGTCTTTTTTTCCTCTCCAACTTTGTTTCCTCAGGTTACACCCGTATCCGGATGTATGGGCATGTGCCTCTACTTTTGTAGTTGCATATGTGCATTCATTTCGGGCCTGATGAAGCCAACCAGCAGAAATACGTTCGCTCGGGTTACCTATCCTATTTTCTGCTCGAATCCACTTTTTGCGGATGTTGTCCATTATTTTCCTATTTTTGTTATATATATATATATATATATATATATATATATATATATATATAGGTGAAAAATTAAAGCTTCCGCCTTTTGTTGGGTACTTCGACAAAATTTATTTTATTCTCTCTAGCTTTCAATGGTCTTTGCCATCATCATCAGGAGCTGCAATTACATTGATAACAGTAGCAACAATAGTGTAAAATGAATTTAAATTAACTTTTACAGTAGTAGGTGAGGATGTTTCTAGTTGTTCTTTAAGTTAAGGATGAGGGAAACACCCAGTAACATGGTGAAAGCTGGATAAATGGTACAATGGTCAAAATTATACAAACAACACACAGCTGTATGACAAGAACAAGTTAAAAACAGATTAAAAAATATTTAAAACGAAAGATAAGCATTACATCGTGAAGCCACTTGATGATTGCACAAAATGGTGGGCATGGAATCATGAGTAAGATGAACCTTTTGACAGATGGTCGAAGGTTAGCAGTGTCCGTGTAGAATGATGGAAAATTCTTTTGTAAGGCGTGTGCTACGTCGCCAAATCACAGATGGTGTGATTTTCAAGATATGTGGGGTAAGAACTTGTCCACACGACCAGAGGCAGTTGAATTAACTATATTATTATTAGATGCGCAATTGAATTAACAGTTCTTATTTAATTATGAGGAAACAGTTATTAAAATTTGAATGGAATGGAGTTTTTGGAGGGATGTGTAAGTGCTCCAATTTTTCGCAGTTTAGCAAATATGAGTAAATGACGCTCAGTTGCTTAACATCTGTCTTCTTATTAATACAGTTGTCATTCATGAAAATGTGGGACATTTCCAGGAATAAACGTTTGGATAGGTGTTTTTCTTTATCGAGAACTTTGATACTTGTATAGTTCATAGAGTGCCCTGTTGTGTTAACATGAGATGCTAGAGCACATCTTTCAGGATGAAGCCTAGAATCACTTTTGTGTGATGTAATCCTTCCTTTAAGAGATCTGGAGGTCTGACCTATGTATATTTGGTTGCAATTGTTGCAATTGATGGAGTAGACTGTGTTGGTTAAGCCAAGCAGCGGGACTCTTTCATCTTTGAACAAATGCATTTGTGAACCGCGTTTTCGATTTTAGTTGACCAATTTTAGTTTAACCGAAAACGTTTGATCCATTCAAAACTTATCGATCAATTTAATGCGTCATAGGCGATTTTCAGATAATTTGAAACGGATTTGAAGCATGTGAACTGTAGTCAGTCGAATTTCGCATTGAATAACGTGATTCTGTCGCACGTGTGCTTGTTGAGTGTGGAAAAAAGACAAAAAATGAGCAAGCAGTGGTCTGAAAGTATTGTGCTACATTTTTTGGATTTATATCAACTGCATGACTGTTTATGGAATACCCTGCTCGAGAGTTATCGAAATTGAAATTGTTCTTCGGACATTCTCAAATGATTTTTGTAGGCATCCTTGTCCTCTAAAGCCAGCTTCTTGAGCAGGGTTCCCGAAACGCCCAATTTATTTCTTCGCAATATCCAAGTCCTGACCCAAAACCGACGTTTTCTAGTTTTTCTGTCAAATTTTGACAAAATGTCTCTAATTTCTTCATTTAATAATTCGTAAATAGCTGCTATACCTGCTATACCTGCTTGGACAACTTCGTCGGCAGCCATTTTAGAAACATAACTAGCTCATCAATTTTTATTATGTGTGTGAACAAATATTCGTTGATCAACTTAAATCGACTCGTGAGAACTCTGCTTCTGATATCTTATATCTTCTTATATCAATCTCGCTGCGTAGCGTCGGATCGCGTGAAATATCCTTGGATATCCTGCCATTATAATGGTAAATATCTTGCGTGGCCACATCCTCAGCTATTCGATGGTGTTGGTATGGCAACATGTCTGTTCCCGAAGAGTTTTCATTCCAGTAGGACATCCCAAGCAATCTAAACGGATTTTTTTTTCTCTTAGGTTAGTTAACCAGAATTTGGAAAAACCGAATTCAGGTTAGGTACAAGGAGAAAGTATACGATTTTCAGTAAAATCACAGTCTGTAGTCAGGATGCAAATGCATACTACAAGGGACTTTGACATGAGTTAATTTTTTTACAGTTCTATCATTCAATTAGTATTTTCAGTGTTATTCCTTAAAAACGTAGACAACTGTGCTATTAGATGATTACAGGGTAACGGAATCCTTGCATAATTAGCAAAGAGCTGCAAAAGCGTAATGAAGGTAAATCTTTCTATCGGTACGCATTATTATGTTGATATAATGCTGTCACTTTGGTAGGCAAATGTGTTAATAATATGCACTAAGAATACGCAATTTTGGCGACAAAAATGCAATGCAAGCGTATAGATGTGGCTCCCGATATATTCGAATTCGTTGGGAAGGAGTTCACAAACAACTATCAGTTAGTTTCTAGACGAGCGTTTGTCATCTCTTGAAAGCTGCCTTTTCATTAAAACATAAGCAGTAAATATAATACTTCGCCAAATATTGTGATCTTGTTGCATAAAGTAGATCTCACTCGACTATAAAGTAAGCTCACATTGGGGCGGCTGACCCAAGTGGGGTAGGGGGCTGCTCTGAAATATCATGCGATCCGACGCTATGGAACAATTCAGCAAGATCCTAAATCGCATAAGAAGATCTAGATTTCTTTAAGAAGATTTTTTATCCCTGTAGGCCAGTGGTCACCAACCTTTTCAGTGTGTTGAGCTACTTTGATAATTTTGGAATAAACAGAGAGACCTAGTCGTTAGCCATGTAAGCCAACTTAAATGAAATTATAGACATACATGTGTTTATTTCACTAATACTAACAGATACTAATAAACTTAAATAAACTAATAACTAATACATGCTACATAACTGTATCCATTCCTGCCAATCGTAGGTATTTGAAAATAAACCAAAATTTTGGTCAGCTACAATGGCATGTCACATACGATTTAATAAAGGTAAGTAAAAATAAAAAAAGCAACGCACTATTTTAAGCAAAAACATGTCGAGATAAAAAATGCGTGTTCAATGAGAAGCCTGACACTCAGACTCTCTGACGATTTTTCTAATGTTTGGAGTACAATTTGATACCGCCATTCGAATACAGTTATCCAGATGTTCATAATTATGTAAGTCAATTACGGTATTTGTTTTTAGTAAACTTCATATGTGAACAAGAAGATTCACACAAATGGCTTGAACTAAATAACGCTTGCACATTCATGTCAACACGACATAAAACTGAATATTTATCTTTACTTACTGAAGACCAGATACATTTTGTATTTGAGACTGATAATTTTAAACTCATTTTGAAACGCAATCACTTCCATTTCTGTCGCAGCGATGTCTTCGCTAAGATTCTGCGTAACAGAAGTTGCAAACTGTTGGATATCAATTTCCATGAAGGGTGAAACCACAAATTGCACCACTATAGCAATTTCGTTGAAATCCTTGAAACGATTTTTGAAGTTGTCCTTCATGTTAGAGACTATTTCTACATGATATTTACTGTCATATGATTCTAATGGACTTTGAGATATCTTCTGTGAAAGATCAGGAAAATGAACGGTATCGCCATCGATCAAGTTTTGTTCCCAAAACTCAAGCTTTTTGATAAACGCTTTTACATCAGAAATTATTTCTGCTAGTTCTTCGTCTCTCATCTGAAACTACAAATTAAGTTCATTTAATTTTTCCGTAATATCCACAAGAAAACCAAAATCTCTAAGCCAGATTGAATTTTCCAGTTACGGAATCGGTTCATCACGTTGTTTGAAAAATTGAACTATGGCAGATATGATATCATTAAAACGTTTCAACACTTGTCTCCTACTTAACAATCGGACTTCAGAGTAAAGAAGTAGTTCCCCGTATTGACAGTCAATTCCATAGGCCAAAGTTTTGAATAATCTTCTTTGTAACCCTTGAGCTATAATCCTGTTCACAATTTTTACTACCAATTTCATAACGTTGTTTAGTTTTAGAATATGTCCACATAATGCTTGCTGATGGATAATGCAGTGGTAACAGAGAAATTGCGGAAAACTTTTATTTTTACGACATAATGCCATGAGACCCTTATCACGACCCACCAAAGCTGGAGCGCCATCGGTTGTAAACCCTACCATTCTCGATATTGGAATTTTTTCAGAAGAAATAATGTTTATAAAAGAAGTAAAGAAGTCTTGCCCAGTAGTCTGCCCTTTTAGTGAAATAAACTTCAAAAGATCTACTTTAATCGTAAAATCACTAAAGACCATCCTGACGAACGTAGTCATCTGAGAGGTGTCAACGACATCTGTGGATTCATCCAGCAGCAGTGAAAAATAAGCATAGTTATCGAAGTAATTTCTACACGATTGCTCATTACTTCTACTCGTCTCGTCACTGCATTAGCAGAAAGTTGCATATATTATAAAGCACACTACTATCTCGTCTTTATTTCGAAAGTTGGCAAACAATGAATGTGCAGCTTCTAAAAACGCCTGTTTTCTCATCTCCCAGTCTTCATACGGCTTCTTCTTTTGTGTAATTATCTGGGACACCCGGTATGATGCTTCAGTTGCAGCCTTACTTTTTTCGGTTGTTTTTAAGAATACTGTCGGTAGATCAATTAACTGATTTTTCGATTGTTTCTGTTTTTCCGTTCTGGTTGCAGAACGTAATGGGAATGATTTTTCAAAATTCGAATGTACAGTTTTATAGTGCCTCTCGATATTCCCTTTTTTAGCAACGGAAACAGTTGTATTACACCACAAACACACATTTTTACCTATAGCTTCTGTAAAGAAATATTGTTCTTCCCATTCCGAATGGGTATGTCTTCGTCTTCATCTTCTTACTACTGCTCATAATGTTTTTAATTGCAGGCCAACTCTAACCCAACAGCTGGACTTTGTGCCGTTCAATTTTAAACTGAGCGCACTGTCGCCGCGGCTTGCGTATTTATTCCGTTCAAAGTAATCGAGAATACCTTGCTATTTTATCTACTAGGGGTACAAATAGATCCGGAACCTTAGGGGTATTCAAGAATCCCCAAAGAGATCCAAAGACACGAGAAGAGATATTTTGACCCAAAAAGTGTTAGTGGTTATCCTCTCGGGGTTAGTTAACCGGAAATTGGAAGAACAAGTTTACCAGCAACTGTCAGTTAATTTTTAGCTTAGATATTGTAATCTCTTGAAAGTTAGATTGCGACTAAAAAGCTGAACCTACAATTCAGTACATGCATCTAATAACATTGTAATTGACATTTGAGCAATTTGTATTGATTGATTTCTATATATTCTGTCCATTTATAAAAATTTAAACTTCCGTAAGTGGAAATACGAAAAAAATAAAGGTTAAATATCATGGAGACTGCATCCATACTTCGGGAATATATATATATATATATATATATATATATATATAGGTGAAAAATAAAGCTACCGCCTTTAGTTGGATACTTCGACAAAATTCAAACAATGCGGAAGGACTCTTTATACTTTATTAGTCTCTAGCTTTCAATGGACTTGCTATCTTCATCAAGAGCTGCAATAACACTGAGAAGAAAAAGCAACTATCGTGCTAAATGATTTTAAATTAACTTACAATAGTACGTGAGATTGTTGCTAAATGTTATTAACGCTTAGGTTGAGGGAAACATTTGGTAGCCTGGTGAAACCTGTATACATGGTACATTCGTTAAAATTAATATAAAATACACACAGCTGTATGTCAGGAACAAATTAAACCGGATTAAAATATTTAGAACGAAAGTTAAAATTACATCGTGAACCACCCGATGCTACACAAAATGGTGTGGCACAGGATCATAAGTAGGATGAAACATTTGACAGATGAAAGAAGGTTTGTGGTGTCAGTGTCGATGAATGGAACGAAAATTTTTGTAAAGTGTGTGCTATGTTGTCAAATCACTTCAGATGGTGTGATTTATCAAGATATGTTAAATAAGAACTTGTCAACAGACCAGAGGCAGTTGAACAAACTATATTGATGACGAGATGGACTATTGAATTAAACAATTATTATTTTATTATGAGAAAAAACAATTATTCAAATTTGAATGAAATGGAAACTTTGGAGGGAAAGGGTGGAATAGACCAAAGAACCAGATTCCATTTATGGTTGTGAAAAGTCAAAATTTGAAGAGATGTGTAAGTGCTCCAACTTTTCGCAGTTTTGCAAATATGAGTAAATGACGCTCAGTTGCTTCACATCTGTCTTTTTGTTCATACAGTTGTCATTCATGAAAAGGAATAAACGTTTGGATAGGTGTTTTTATCCATCAAGAAATTTGATACTTCTGAACTTGTGTAGTTCATAGAGTGTCCTGTTGTATTGCCATGAGATGCCAGAGCACATCTCGCGGGATGATAGTAAAGAAAGTAGACATGTAGCCGGGTTGCCAGAAAGGAGTTAGGGGTTCGACGTATCAGTCGATTTTTTATCCCAGTAGGACATCCCAAGCAATCAAGGAGGTTTTCTATTCCAGTGGAAAGAGATTCGACGGAATCAGAGGATCACAGGCAATCCAGGAAGATTCAAGATGATCCAAAGGGATCAATGGCAATCCGTGGAGATTCAAGGCTATTTGTGTTGATCTGTCCATACACATGCCGCACCAGCCTGTAGTTGCTAACTCTACTGGTTCAGTATACTTTGCCATTTTATCTAATAGGAGCACAAATAGGTCCGCAGAGTTGTTATGTACAAAACCAAAAAACGTAAAAAAGTGACGAAATGTCATCTTACAGACCAGGTAATTTTTGGTGTGCAAATAGTTCATTCCATGTTTGCTCGCTATGATCGCTGTTCGCTGACGTTTAAGCAACACGTACGACGTTCACAACAAATGTACAACAGCAAAGCGCCATCTATCTCACCAGAATCCACCATTGTGGATCGCGCATCGCTGCTATCAGTTGGAACTGTCATGGATCTCAGTTCCAGTCTAATAGCTGCACCGCTAGATGGCTGATGATTCTGGCTGAAAGTAGATGTGGTCTACTTGCCACTAAACAGATTGAACATGATGCTTTCATCCGCCCGACAAAAAAAAGAAGACAGTAACCATGGACAGCTGTTTCCTGCTTCATAGCTACTCATCAGCATAGGCTTGGTATCTTGTCACAAAATACCTACGAACTGTCAAAAGCGACAAAATGTCAGTTTTCAGGATACGTAATACCAGTGACCAAGAAGATCCAAACGCTCCAGAAGAGAATTTTTATCCAAACAAGTGTTAACGGTTATCTTCTCAGCGTTAGTTAATCGGAATTTGGAAGAACGAATTCACGCACAACTGTCAGTGAATATCTTGCCTAGAGTTTGTCATGTCTTGAAAGTTATTGGAACTTACAATGTTATTAGATGAATGTATAGAATCTCTGTTCAAATATTGTAATCTTGTTGAATAAACTTTAACTAGGTCTCACTCGGAGGTTTTGGGGAATCCGTCTACGACAGTAAAGGAGGCAGACACAGAGGGTGGCTGGGTTGCCGGGTGGGGGTTGGGGGTTGTTCTGCCGGCTGCCGCCGCCGCTATCGTAGTCTCCGCCGCCGCCGTCACAGTGGAGCCGGCGGCATCGATCCGACGGGACGCGGACACAGGCGGGAGGCGGCATCGGATCGGCATGCTGGCGTGCTGCGAGAGAGTTTGGGGGTTAGGCCCGCGCCTGATTAGGCTACGTTACTACTATGGATGCGGAGTCTGATGAGTTCTGACTAATTCGTACAAATAAACAAACGCCTCTTTTTCGATTAGCGTGCTTACACTGACGGCGCACAGTGGTCTACAGCCCGCAAAAAGGTGGCAAGAAATACAACTACTGTAGCATCTTCAGGAAATTTGGTACTTAAGGGTTTTTGAGGTCGATCATTTCAAATCTGCTGTCAAAAAACAGAAACTACATATGCCGTTCCATCCTTGAAACAAGCTGATATTGTGATGTTTGATAGAAGATGGGATCAATATGGTATTATAGTGATTGCCTAACAAGGACGATTCTTAAAAAAATACATAAAAATTATATTTCAAACACAACAAACAAGAGGATAAGATATGACTACTCAGAAACTTTATCAAAATTGATGTCCGTAAGAACAAATCTGAAGGTAAATAGATCTTTGATTAGTTTTGCAGCTTTTACCTTTCCCTTTGCCATTAATTTCATTTGTAATACGTGAATTCCTGAACGCTCGTGCTAGTACAAGTTTTTAATCCTTTAGTTATTTCAGAACTATCAGCGAAACTAGGTTTTGGTCTGCCTTTTGTAGTTGATTTTCTTGATTCCTGTGATTTCCCTTGGAAATTTTATTATGTAGATAAACCTATCTTAATACCTGAAAAGGGACCTTTTTCGAGTGACCTCCAGCCACTTACTTTTAAATTTTGATACAAAACTTGCAATATTTGTATTTCGGTATCACATAGACTTTTTTTACTTATTTCTTTCAAAGTTTCGGGTTGCAATCTATTAAGCTTTTAATCTGGACGCTTTTATGGAAAATCATGCAGCAAGTCGGAATCTCAAAGTGAAAAAACGTAATATAACAAAGGACCGGTATGAGCATCTTCATAGTTGGTTTGTATTGATTAAGGCCATATTTCTAAAAAGTTTGTGGAAGTTAGCAAAATCTGATTTTATTTTTTATCTTG